AATAATACTATTCTTGACGATCTTATTCCTGAATTTATATAAAACACTTGACTATGCCTCTCTACTCTCATATTCACTCAACATCTCCCTTGTGCATTATCACAGTGAACATAAATGCACAATCATGCTCATTTTCTATTTCTTAAAAAAAGCATGCATAAGGCAGTATATACTGTAGGTAAGTGTAGTCTAATTATAGTGCAGTGTAGGCTTGGGCGGTTTTGCTTAAAATCAAAACCGAAAAACCGTCTGATTCTAAACCGGTAAAACCGGGTTTTTTCCCTTTAATTTGTATTTCAACTGAATGAGGAGGAATTATGGTATTTTTTTGACATATAAGCAAAGGAACAGAACATGACAAAACGCAAAATTGTGTAAAGCTAACCTAAAACGACTTCAGTTTTAAAATAAAAGGGTCAAGAATGCATTTGAAAACTTATACCTCTTTAGTTCTTACCGACTTTACGGAAAAAGAATATAATTTGTATCTAGTGTCATGTAATTGTGTTTAATTAGTGTCATGTTTTGAGAATTAGGATCGAGTTTCGGGCTTTGACAGTAAACAATTTCGTAATGACAGTTTTCCGGTTTTTGTAAAAGCTAAACCGAAAAAACCGGTTTGAAAATAAAACCGAAAAAACCCGAAAAACCGGTAAACCGCCCAAGCCTAGTGCAGTCTTAATCTACTTTTAGAGGATTGTGAAAAATGCCCCGGATCTTATTCCAGTGGCAGAAGTTGATGTTTTCTAGAATAACCCAAATCATGCAAAATTTAATGGTAATGCAACAATTGAAGAGTATTGCATTGCTATTACACCAGGTGGCTACACCTGCATTATTTGTGGCAATGAGAGACTAATACAACAATATGGCATGGATGCAACTTTTATAAAATTAATGCTTTAATGCTTTTGATATTGGCTGGTCATGAAATGTGTGAATCATCATGCAACCTTGACTGATTGACTGCAACCTAATTGCACCAGTGAGGTATGATGATGTATTAATGAGGTATGGACTAATAGCGGCTGCTCATGCGCCATTTGTAAGCTCAAAGTCTACCTCGGTCTGCTTCACGTCAGTCCGGTTCTATCTATCTATTCATAATGTAACCAGTCACTGAAAAGCCCTGTTAGGGAGTGTGCTGTGAAATATCTGTACCTGTATCTGTACCTATCTGTACCAGTGAAGATCTTTGTATATACCTTGCTCACATACTGAATGGCATAAAAATTCATTTCTACCATCTTCTATTAGACTATGGAATTTACTGCCCAATATAAAATTACATTAAGTTCCCTCGATAAGCCTATATTACGCTTTTGGAACAAATGTAAAGCTCATACAGTATAAAATCGTTGTGCAAAATTAAATGGTTTTAAATTGCAGCAACAATTGCAGGCTTTTGTTGTCTTAGAGTGAGCAATCCCTTTTGTGACAGCAATGCAACGATTTCACCACCATCGCATTGCTGCCACCAGGCAAATAGCACAATGTATAGCTTTAGGATAAGTTTATACAGACATGGGCCAGAAAGTTTAATTTCAGGTGAAAATTATTGTGTTAGAAAATGTATTTACATTGTATTTTAACAGCACTCAACCTGTACAGTAGCTCTATGTAAACAGTACAAAGATGACATCCCTCTCAGTAAAGTGAGCCAGCTGTGGTCAGTGTGGAAAGTTTGTATCGCACAACCGAGATATCAGACATGCAATTGTGGTGCTTTTATATTATTTAATACTAAATTCTTGAAATCTCTGGTGCATATTAATTTCCAAACTTTCCAGTCAAGAACTTGGGTATCCAGGCTTACAGACATCCCGCTAAGACTAATAGTACATATCGTAGTATATGTAGGCCCTTATATAGGCCTCTATTCTATAAAATTTATATTTTATACTAAATTTCAATAAATAAATATATTTCAGGATTTTTTGTGTCCCTTTAAATATTAATAAAAAAACAATAACATCACTAGATCTATCGCATTTTGTATCATGGTGTAAACTGGCAACAGAAAAGTAAAAGTAAATAAAAACTTTGAAGCGACTTCATTGATAATTCAAGTAGATATCACAATTGACAAGAGCATATTTACCCAATTATAAAATTGGTTTATTTTATATAGCTTCATAATTACAGCTAAGTTTTATATTTCGGAATTAGGACATCAACCCACATTTGAAGATATATCATAATAGATCGGACGAATTCAAAACTGGAATCCGAAGTATGGCAAATATCGCAATGAATGAAAAATATACCGAATACAGTGCAGTTAATAACTTAATAATCATTAGTTCATAGAATTTGTATATTTCATCAATTGGAGTTACGAACTTTTACATGTATACCGATGAATTGGAACCAGCTATAAATAATTTGGGATAAAATGTACAAATTCTACATTAAAAATGAAATACATAGAAAAAATATGAATGAAAATTGACCACAAACCTGAGACAAAGATGTTGTAGTATTCGACACCGCCATAGTGGCAGCTTGTCCTCTCGTACCCAGGAATACACAGCCACAGAATAGGAAGTTATACCAGAAGCGTAACTCTAGTCGTTTCCCTTATTGTTTGACGTCCACGAAAATTTTAACTCGCTCACGTCAGGCCACGCCATCCTGGCTAGTACAGCCGAAAGTTTTTATCAGGATTTGGTAGGTACAAAGTGCCGGTTGTACTAGCCAGGATGGCGTGATTGATGACGAATCGCTTGTAAAAACGCGGACAAATATTTGCTCGAGTTACGCTTCTGGTATAACTTCCTATTCTGTGACACAGCTAGTGCTTCTTAATTAGCATATGACGTAGCATGACCGGAAAAATCCCGGAAGTACAAAAACCTGGAAAGTTTACTGTCTTTACTGGTAATAAAATTGCGGTCTTGGGGATTTAGCAGTTGAGGAGGTGGAAATTTTAAATGACTTAAAAATGATTTGAAAATAATACATCCCTCCCCATGTATGAGTTGAAAAAGTTGTGACATTCACTTAGGACTCGTCCAAAAATAGTATGACCCCCTGCCAACAGTGGCGTAGACGAGTTTTGAGACGAGTTTTGAAGAAAAACTATACCCACATTTTATCGTTAGGCGAGACATTGTACCTCCCTCCTTGTTAGCCCGGAAATCAATGAGGATAGAGCTCCCTTTTCTCCCCTGGCTATGCTGGGCCAAAAATATCCGGCCATTTGCAGAAATCATTTGGAGGGGGGTCCGGGGGGCGGGGGACACGGCTCCCACGGAAAATTTTGAATATCTAAGGTCTTTGGAACGGCATTCACGCATTCCAAGACGCATGGGCGTACGGGCCTAATTTTGTTGGGCAGTATTAGTTTGCCCGACCGCTTTGCTTACACAATACAAATATACAACTTTGTTCGAGATTTTATCAGGGCTTTTTTTAAGGATTTTCCCGCGGGGGGGGGATTGTTTTTAAAAAGGGACCTTTCTGTGAGATAATATATTAGTGGGGGATAGCCAAGTGGCCGACACACCACGCATGAATCCCTAGGGGGTCTGTGGGCATACTCCCCCAGAAAATTTTATTTTTGAAATTTGAAGCCCGGAAATGCAATTTCCTGCATTCTGAGCATCCAAATTTGCTCTAAAATTTAAGCTATAACTACACTTGTATTTGAAATAAAAAAAAATAAAAAATCGCACAAAAAATAAATAAATTATTAACAATAATTTATCATTACTTAGTGGTAAAAGAACGTAGCAATTTAAATCGATTTTGTTAAACAAGGACAAAGGATAAAGGCTAAAGCCTAAAACTTACTTTCCGTTTATCTATTTGTTATTCTTCGCTGGTTTGTTTGTATAAATTTAGGAAAAAGGCCCTGGATTTTGTATGTACTTTTATAAACAAATGAATATGATTGTGTAAAGGTTGCTTTAGCAGAAGTTAAACCAAAATGTCTAGAAACACTAAGACAAAAACTAAGAACAATGCTCAATGTTTCTGCAATCTTCATAATCTTTGCCATAAGCCATCATCATTCATATACAGGTGTTCTTCATATATGGCAAAGTATATTAATTAAAAAGCAATTAATTTTGGCGTTATTATATTTAATTATTCATTGTAGACCACGGTTCTTCTTATCAACTTTGATGAGAGTTATATGTTTTGCGGCTTTTGCCCAAATGACACATGGATTTCTGGAATTTTCTGCTCTTGCAATTTCCCGACCGTAAAAAGTTTGGGGGGGGGGCTGTGTCCCCCGTGCTCCCCCCCCCCCCCCCCCCCCTGGGTGGGGGGGGGGGGGG